GAAAAATTAAAATATCGAAAACTCGAAAATTTCCAAAACTGGATCACCAAAAAACTGAGAAATCGAAAATTTAAAAAATCGAAACACGCAAAAGTCGAGAAATCGAAAATTTGAAGATCGAAAAATTGAAAAATCGTAAGACTGAAACATTGGAAAATTGAGAAATCGGAAATTTGAAGAATCGAAGAAATGGAAAATCGAAAAATTGAAAAACCCAATAGTTGAAATCCAAAAAGTCGAAATTGAAACATCGAAAAAGTCAAAAATTAAAATATAGAAAAATTGAAAAATCCGAAAATTGAGAGTTATCAAAATTGAAATTTTGAAAAACTAAGATATCGAAAACTTGAAAATCACCAAGTCGAAAAATTTTTGAACATCCAACAACGGGAATGGCAAGAAATTGAAACATTAAAAAATCTTTAAAAAAATGTGAAATTTAGAAAAAAAAATGGAAAAACTGAAAAATCAAAAAGTTTGAAAACCGAAAAATTGAAAAATCGAGATCTCGAAACATCAGAAAATCGGAAAATCGAAAATCCAAAATTAAAAAAAAATGTAAAAATTGAAAAATCGAATAATGTAAAAATCGAGAAATTGAAAAATCAAAAATTTTAATGATTAAAAAATATAACATTGAAAATTGGAAAGTCGAAAAATCGAGAAATGGGAAAATCAAAGAATCGATTAATCGGAAATTGAAAAATCAAAAAATTTAAAATTTCGAAAAAATCGAAGATCTGAAAAGTCGAAAAATCGTAGATCCCAGAAATCGTAACATCAAAAGATCAAAAAGTAAAAATTGAAAATTGAAAAATTTCAAGTTAAAAAAAATCGAAAAATTGAATAACTGAAAATTCTAAAATCGAGAAGTCGAAAAATCAAAAATTTCAAAAATGGAAAAATTAAATATTGAAAAGTGGAAAATTCCCAAAACTGAAACATCAATAACTGACAAATGGAGAATTTAACAAATCGAAACACTGGAAAGTCAGGAAATTGATTAATCGTGAAATTGAGAAACTGAAACTTCGGAAAATTGAGAAATTGAAAAACGAAAAAATCGAGATATCGAAAATTTGAAGATTCGAAAAATTGAAAAATCGTAAAATTGGGAAATCAAACAATTTTAAAATCGAAGGATTGAAAAATTGAAAGATGGGGAAATTGAAGAGTTACCAAAATTGAAATTTTGAAAAACTAAGAATTCGAAAACTTGAAACATCAGAAAATCGAAAAATAGAAAAGTCGACAAATGAAAAACCGAGAAATCGAAAATCCAAAATTTAAAAAAATGTAAATATGAAAAATCGGAACACCGAAAAATTGGAAAATCGAAAATTCAAAAATTCGAAAAATTGAAAAACAGAAACATCGAAGTGAAAAAACGAGTATTCTAAAAATCAACAATTTTAAAGATTAAAAATTAGTATATCGAAGAATTGGAAAATCAAAAAATTGATTAATCGGAAATTGAAAAATCGAAAAATTTATAAATTGTAAAAACTAAATAATGAAAAGGTCGAGAAATCGATAACTTGAAATTTGAAAAATTAAAAAATTAAAATTTCGAAAAAATCGAAGATCGGAAAAATCGTAAATCCGAGGAATCGAAACATCAAAAAATCGAAAAATTGAAAATTGAAAACTTTTAAGTTAAAAAAAAAATCAAAAAATTGAAAAACTGGAAATATCGGTTTTAGAATTTTCAGTTTTTCAATTTTTCAAGTTGAAAAAACGAACTATCGAAACTGAAAAATTCAAAAATCTAGAATTCGAAAAATCAAAAATTCAAAAATGGAAAAATTAAAATATCGAAAAGTCGAAAATTCCCAAAATTGGATCATCAAAAAACTGTGAAATCAAAAATTTAAAAAATCGAAACACGGAAAAGTCGGGAAATCAAGAAATCGAAAATTTGAAGAATCGAGGAATTGGAAAATCGAAAAATTGGAACATCGGATTAATCGATGAATTGAGAAATTGGAAAATCAAAAAATTTTAACATCGAAAGATTGAAAAACCCAAAAATTGAAATGCGAAAAGTCGAAATTAAAACATTGAAAAAGTCAAAATTTAAGATTTTGAAAAATTTAAAAATGCGAAAATTGAAGAGTTATCAAAATTGAAATTTTGAAAAACTAAAAATTCGAAAACTTGAAAAATCTGAAATATCGAAAAATGTGAAATTTAGAAAAAAATCAAAAACTAAAAAATCGGGAAATCGGAAAATCTAAAAATTGAAAAATGACAAATATCGAAATATGTATTGAAAAATCGAGATCTCAAAACATCAGAAAATCGAAAAATAGAGAAGTCGACAAATCGAAAAACCGAGAAATCGAAAATCCAAAATTAAAAAAATGCAAAATTGAAAAATCTAAAATCGAGAAGTCAAAACATCGAGAAATCGAAAAATCAAAAATTTTAAAGATTTAAAATTAAAAATTAAGATATCGAATAACTGGAAAGTTGGAAAATCGGGAAATGAAAAAATCAAAAATTCGAAGTCGGGAGAAAAATTGAAAAATCTAGAGATCTAGTCATCAGAAAATCGAAGAATGAAGACTAAAATTTAAAATCGAAAAATTGAAAAATCGGAACATAGAAAAATTGGAAAATCCAAGATCAGAAAAGTCGAAAAATTGAGAAATCTAAATAAGCCAAAATCGAAAAGTTAAAAATTGAAAATTGAAAAATTTTAAATGAAAAAAAAAATAAAAAAATTGAAAAACTGAAAATTCAAAATTCGAGAATTCGAAAAATCAAAAATTTCAAAAATTGAAAAATTCAAATAGCGAAAAGTCGAAAATTCCCAAAACTGAAACATGAAAAACTGAGAAATCGAGAATTTAAAAAATCGAAACACTGGAAAGTCGGGAAAGCGATTGATCGTGAAATTGAGAAAATGAAACATCGGAAAATTGAGAAACCGAAAAACGAAAAAAAATCGAGAGAAATCTAAAAATAAAAAATTTTAAAGACTAAAAATTAAAATATCGAATAACTGGAAAGTTGGAAAATCGAGAAATGGAAAAAATAAAAAAATCCAAAAGTCGGGAAATTGAAAAATCGAGAGATCTAATCATCAGAAAATCGAAAAATTAAGACTCAAATTTAAAAAACCGAAAAGTTGAAAAATCGAAACATCGAAAAATTGGAGAATTAATGATTCGAAAAGTCGAAAAATTGAGAAATCTAAATCGCCAAAATAGAAAAGTTAAAAATTGAAAATTGAAAAATTTTAAATTAAAAAAAATCGAAAAACTGAAACATCAAAATTTGAAAAATTCAAATATCGAAAAGTCGAAAATTCCCAAAACTGAAACATGAATAAACTGAGAAATCGAGAATTTAAAAAATCGAAAAACGAAAAAAATCGAAAAATTGGAAAATTGAAGATCCGAAAAGTCGAAAAATTGAGAAATCTAAAGAGGCCAAAATCAAAAAGATAAAATCGAAAAATTGAAAAAGTAAAAAATAAAAAATTTAAAAATCCGAAAAATTGAAAAATTGACAATTTTAAGAAGTGAAAAATTTTAAATATCGAAATATTGAAAAATCGAGATCTCAAAACATCAGATAATCAATAAATAGAAAAGTCGACAAATGGAAAACCGAGAAATCGAAAATGCAAAACAGAAAAAAGATGTAAAATAGAAAATTCTAAAATCTAAAATAGAAAAATCGAACTGAAAACTCAAGAAATCGAAAAACCCAAAATTTTGAAGATTAAAAATTAAAATATCGAATTGGAACGTTGGAAAATCGAGAAATGGAAAAATAAAAAAATCGAAAAGTCGGGAAATTGAAAAATCGAAAATTTGAAAAAGTCATACATTATAATTTCGAAAAATTGAAAAATCCTAACATCGAAAAATTGGAAAATCGAAGATCCGAAAAATTGGGAAATCTGAATAGGCCAAAATGGAAAAGTTAAAAATTGAATTTTGAAAAATTTTAAATTAAAGAAAATAAAAAAAAATTGAAAAACTGAAAATTCAAAATTCGAGAATTCGAAAAATCAAAAATTTAAAAAATTGAAAAATTCAAATATCGAAAAGTCGCAAATTCCCAAAACTGAAACATGAAAAATCTGAGAAATCGAGAATTTAATAAAATCGAAACACTGGAAAGTTGGGAAATCGATCGATCGCGAAATTGAGAAAATGAAACATCGGAAAATTGAGAAATCGAAAAATAAAAAAATTTAAAGACTAAAAATTAAAATATCAAATAACTGGAAAGTTGGAAAATCGAGAAATGAAAACCTGAATGCCCAAATTAGAAACAACACGGATTCATAAACCACAAATGGAGGAGTACTTTATTTTATAAAATTTAAATAAATCTACTATTATAAAATTTAAAGATGACGTCTTGATGTGGATGAGCAGACAAATTTTGGTTAGCGTTATACCATCTATTATTATTATTCCTAACTTCCGTACAAAATTTGTCAGCAATCGATCCAGTAGTTTCGAAGATTATCTGTCTAATAAAAATCCGGACAATTAATCCGAAACGAGATTATATAGCGGCAGATAAATCGACAAAGAGTAACAAAAAATTGCAACACCTCAAAATAAAGTAAACATGCAATTTTGAAACAGTTTGACCCACTTTATCGATACCATAGGTACGAACACGCTCCGAAAAACAATACCAAAATCGCACCAATTCCGGACATAATCGCTGCAACATGACCCAGTAGCATCACAATGCAGTACGGATATTTCACAACGTGCTTCAGATAAGCAGCCCGAAATCCACATTGTTATATGCATTTCCTCGTCATCTCTCACATGACTAACACCGCAAACCTAATAGTGTTGTTTTCGCGATACCGAACTAATGCAAGCTTGACGTCACCGTTTCATTGTACATTTAAACTCCGATCAACTGGTTGTTAATTCACCATGACCTCGAACAATTTAACGTCAATTAAAATAAAAACCTGAATATTGCGACATAACAAATACAAACAAGAATTATTTCAGGTTGAAGATCTCCTTAAAATCAAACCTATTGACCGCATCCGCCTCGACAACATCAGTCGTTTCCTCACCGTGGACAACTCCGACCAAGAAGACCCCGACTTCGAGACACCCAGATCGAGTATTTTGCAAAACGGCTTCCACCACCAGTCGGCTTTGGACAAAAGGGCCAACGGAGGTCCTTTAAAGCTGCCGCTTTTGAACGGTTTATCTTCCTCTTCGCTTTTCGATATTTTCGAGCTGTTGTCGGCGTACTCGCCGCGACCCATCCTCGAGGAGACCTTCGACTTCACCAGGAAAGGCGAGCCGGCGATCCGGCTGGCGTCCTGGAACCTGCACGAGTTCTCGGCGGAGAAAGCCAACAACCCGGGAGTCAAGGAAGTGGTGTGCAGGACGATTCTAGAAAACGGGTTAGTTTCGATTAAACTCGTTGAGTGTGTTTTGTTGGTATTAATTAGTCATTGGTTCTAGGATTTCTGTGCTGGCTGTCCAGGAAGTCCTGAGTGTGACGTCCCTGAAGTTGATCTGTGATGAACTCAACAAGCCCAAATTAAGACGTGTAAGCGAATGGAAAGACAAAAACCACAACTGGAATTTTTGTATGCTGGATGTAGAAGGGTCACAGTTAGGATTCATCTATGATTCTGATGGAGGTAGTAAATAAATAAATGAACGTGGGTTGTTTGATAGTCATTTTTTTCCAGCGATTGATATTGAATTGATATCGTTGACTCAAGGCCCCGACGAAACTAAAGACGACTGCGAAGTCCTAATAGCCGCATTTAAAATAGGAGAATTAAATTTGCAACTAGTTAACATGAAGCTGAACAAGTCGGCGAAGCTGGAGACATTACGCGACAAAATTAAAGATCTAGTGTCAGAGGAAGACATGTTGGTTTTGTTTGTAGATTTTTCCGCTTTTTCCACCGTTACAGGTAAATTAGCAAATATTAGTTTATTGATAACATATTTACATAATTATGGCGTCACAACTATTTATAACCTATAAACAACATTCACCTATTTTTGCAATATGTATTTAAATTATATAATTTTTTTTTTCAGATGACTGGTTGAAGTTGGGAGGTCTCCAACCAGTGTTCCCATCATCCATGAACACGAGCTACCTGAGTTCAAAAATGGGACTAAGTCCACAACACATATCAAATATTTTATGCAATTCCAAGGTGCAGGGACAAATTACGGGTATTAACGGGGTGATTCGCCAGGGTGTTACGCACCTGGCCATCCCCAATGGGTGGAACTGGGGCGGGCCCACATCGCCGTACTGCCCGGTCTGGGCAGAGTTCTTCTTGAATTCCATTATGGGCACAGCGTTGTGATATTACGTCATGTTATATTTAATTTTATTTATTTTCGACTGGATATACTTCACGTAATTTACAAAATATGGCTGTGTGTCACCGGCGGGATGTTTTGTGATACGGTTTTATTTTTAAAGTACAGAGTCAACGTAATGCTGCGAGGACGCGCGTTTGTAAAAGGCTTTAATTTAATAAACGTTATTTTATTAGACGAAGACTTTAATTGACCCCTTTTTCGTAACGATTGTTACGCCATTGGTGAAAACCGAACTGAGTTTCGTCACACTTTATGCAAAAAAAGCGCTCAAATGCAGCTATAGACTCATTGTTATGAAAGGGCTTAGTCTAGTTATAGCCAAAATAGCGTGAAAACTGGTCAGATTTAACAAAAAGTGCAAATATAACCTCACTTTCCGGCTGCTTTGAATTATTAAAGAGGAAGTTGGAGAATCACGAAGTGCGTGCCTCGAGAGCACGATTGAATAATTAAAGTCGTTTGATGGGGTAGAACGCGTTGCGTGCGTTTTCACGCACGTTTAATTCTCGCCGGTACGCCTCTGGTATCTGGTGACTTTGGCGCCGCGGTTGGCAGCGCGCTGACGTAGCGCTGTCAATCGATGCGACACGGTGACAGCTGTCAGTGTCAGTTTGAATCGTCAGGCATCCAGCGACAGTGCGAATTACCATCGAAATGGTAGGTTTTCGCCGAAAAACAAAAGCCAATCACTGATCAATTGTCTTGCAGTCGTTTTCGGAGAAGATCGCGACATTGATGGCCCGTCCAGGCCAGGACCCGGTTTCCAAAGACGACGTCCCATGGTGGATGAAGTACCTGGGAAGAGGAGTAGGAACTGTGGGCAGTTTCAGTAAGCGTTAAGTGCGAAATTGGCCGAAATTGATAATGATGGAATTGTCGTTTTAGTTGCGATTTTATTGGGTGTCTGGAACTGTGTTGCTATTTTGGTTGGCAGCGCGACTGCCTTGATCGCGGGCATGTGGCAGATCCTGGCAGCCTTCGGGGTGCTGTGCTGCGAGGCCCCCTGCTGTTGCATGTTCGTGGACCACGTGCAGAGGCTGAGCGAGTGGGTGGACAAACGGCCTTATTGGAACAGGGCTCTGGGATATGTGATGTACGGTGTTATCTTATCTGGGGTGTTTTGCATTGTTATCGCTTTGTTTGTAGAATATCTATTCCGCCGATTATTTTGAGTCCGGGCTTGGCGACGATTTTCGGCAGCGGTCTAATTTTCACCACTGGGGTGATCTATGGGATGATGGCGTTGGGGCGGAAGTGAGTATTTTCTCTGGAGTCATTAGTAACTGGTGTGATCAAGATAAATTCCAGAAAAATCCTACTCTTTCACTAATTTTTTTTATCTAAAACGCTTCATCTGTCAGATTGATAAATTGCTTTTTTGTGGAGATCATTTGGCGGTTCAGTTATAGTATTGAATATTCAGGCAATTTGACACATTTTACTTTAATTTTTATTGCGTTATTAATCCAACTTCAGGGTAATTATCATTTAATTAATTTTGTTTTAATGTTAAATTATTTCACTCTTATCACTTAATGTTATGGTTCTCCAAACATGTGGTTATTATGTGGTGAGGGACAGTCGTGTGGGGCATTTTTTTTTAAATAGAACTCTGTTACGCCACGCTATTATAAGCGACCTTAAAACATAAATATAAACAGTTGTAAAAACAAACTTTTAAACAAACATCAGCCAAGCTGTTAAGATTGTGATTACATTGATAACAGCGGTAATAGAAAATTAACTTTTGCTTTTAAAGTTTATAGTCGAAATTTGAGTTACAACCTTTGGATACAGAGGTTTTTAAAACAAGTAGAATTGGTTTTAAAACCCTGTAGATTAAAAAATATATATATTTTTGACTGCAATACCACGCGATCACGTTTTCTCGACGTTTCATGGCTCCTAGAATCTGAAAAATTAGATCTCCCGTTTTCATCTTTAATATCTGAATTTAAAAAAAATCTAAATTATTCGAAAAAAAAAATTGATTAAATTATTCCGTTCCGTTTAACGTTTACTGGAACCTCTAGAAATTTTAAGTATTTAAATTTCTAAACGTTTTAAGCTAATGGGTTTCAATTGAAAAAGTTAACCAGTTGGCGTTGTTTTTTTGATACAAGAAAACGTAGAAAAACCGCACGTCTTTTATTAATCCACACTGTCGTGTGTAATTGACATTAGACGGAGCTGTTTAAAAAGCCTTAACTTTGGTATTAAAAAAAAAGTGATCGATTCAATTTTAGGTTTGTTGTACCCGTATTTTTCATTGTTTTATGATTGAAGCAAATTTTGGGGTTGGCAATTCTGAATTATTGGTAGCAATGTTAGGATGTCAGTTCACAGTTATAAATTTTTACATGAGCGCGTCTAAAAACCACTGAATTAGTGCTCAAATTTGAATTTGACATCAGGTGTGCCATCATAAAATTTTAAATATGTTGCCAACCTGACAAGAAAAAACAAACATTAATAGTCACTCGGTGTTAAACACCCATGCAATAGATTGGAAAATTTCTAGTAGGCTATGAAAATCAAATTTAGATATATGTATTTAAAATAATGATGTTGGCATTGCAGATATTTGACAGTTATTTGACCGTAACTGTCAGACTGTGGATTTTTTTCAATCATCATATGTAGCACTTGCAAAATAAGACTGAATTTTTGCGTATGACATATCCCCTAAGAAAACAAGGGCCTGGTGGGCGGGGCCAGTACTTGCTAAGATAAGACTGATTTCAGCAAATGATATACCTTCTAAAAAATAAAGGGCGGGTGGGCAGGGCTAGTAATTGTAAAGTACGACTGATTTTAGCAGATGATATATCTTCGAAGAAAATCGAGGGCGGGTGGGCGGGGCTTGTACTTGCTAATAATTTTAGTGTATGGTACCCAAAGAACTACTAAACTTTAGACTTTGACATATTTTTCTATCTCTAATAATTGATCGCGCTTAGTGATTCATCCTATATAAAAAAATATACATACCGAATCATTAAGCGCGCTGTCCTCGATATCTTATTAATTATTAGCGATTGAAAAAATGTTAAAGACTGTAGTCCAGTTTTCTGATCTTTCGTCTCCATTACTGTACGCTGTATAATTTGCCATTAAACTTGTTTTTTTTCCATGTCGTTACCTTTAAGATATAATATAATGGGAAAAAATTCTCTAGTAGGGCATAAAATTTATTTTTAAAATAATCATGTTGGCATTGCAGGTATTTGACAGTTATTTGACCGTAACTGTCAGACTGAGCAAGAAACTCGTTGATGTTACCAACATAATTATTTTAAAACTTAAATGTCATAGCTTACTGTTGGATTTTTTCGATGTATTAAAATGTTTAGTATCTATTATTTCATTTCTAATTTTATTTAAATTTTAACAACTTCCAAACTTAAAATTACTTTCTACCATTAGTTTCACAGTTTCGTCAAGTTTTTTTTTTATTATTAAAACACACTGTTGTGAATAATTGACATTTGACAGGATTTTTAAAAAACGTTAATTTAATTATTAAAAAAAAAATCCGCGTTTTCAACTACCATCTTTTAAATTTTAAGTTTATTGTAGACTTTACAATGTTTACGAAAAATCAAGGTCAACTCGATGACTTCTTCTACTAGGTGACTATTAATGATTGAACAGATTTTTGAGTTGGCAATTCCGAATTATTGACAGCAATGATTGCATGTCGGTTCAGATTTATAAATGTTGACATGAAAGCGCCTAAAAACCCGTGAGAAAATGGCAACTATTGAATTGGTGCCCAAATTTGGATGTGACATCGGGTATGCCATCATAAAATTTTAAATATGTTGCCAACTTGACAAAAAAATTACAAACATTAATAGCCACTCAGTGTTAAACATCCATACAATAGATTGGAAAAAAATCTGTAGTAGGCCGTGAAATTTATTTTTAAAATAATGATGTTGACATTGCAGATGTTTGACAGTTATTTGACCGTAACTGTCAAACTGTGGATTTTTTTCCATCAACATATGTATGTAGTATGTACAGAGTCATCAAAATTGATTGAGAGAGTTGGTAAACCTGAACTTGAATAATTTGGTTTATTAAGTTGTATAAAAATATTAGCTGTCAGATTTGAAGTTTCAAGTTTCAAATTTCAAAACTCAGTGGCGTCTTTTTTCGATTTTTTTTTTGTAAAAATATTAGTTGTCAGATTTGAAGTTTCGAATTTTTGTCACGCCACTGAATTCATTGCCATATAACCTTAAACAAATCTGTCATAAGGTTGACAAACTTCACGACAAAAACAGGGGGTACCAACTCTCTCAATCAATTTTGATGACCCTGTACTTGCTAAGATAAGACTGATTTTTGGTGAATGACATATTCTCTAAGAAAATAAAGGGCGGGTGGGCGTGGGTAGTATTTGCTAAGATAAGACTGATTTTAACAAATGATATATCTTCTAAGACAATAGAGGGTGGGTGGGCGGTGCTAGTACTTGTAAAGTAAGACTCTTATTATTTTTAAATTATACTTAAAATTTTGCTATTAAGACACGATTACAATCTACGGATTTAGTAAAATATTTAATACCTATTCATTTCATTTCTAAGTTTATTTAAATTTTAACAACTGTCAAACTTAAAATTACTACACTTTCTACCATAAGTTTCACAGTTTCGCCAAATTTTAGACGTTTTGAAGATGTTTTCTTGCATAAGAATTTTTAAAACACATGTATTTTATTAACTCACACTGTCGTTGTGAATAATTGACATTTGACAGAATTTTTAAAAAACGTTAATTTAGTTACTTAAAAAAAAGTGAGGTTACGGTGCGCCAATCCGCGTTGTCAACTGCCATCTTTTAAATTCCAGTTTTATTATAGAGGTACTTTACAATGTTTACGAAAAATCAGGTCCAACTCGATGACTTCTACCAGGTGACTATTAATGACTGAACAAATTTTTGGGTTGGCAATTTTGAATTATTGGCAGCAATGTTAGCATGTCAGTTCACAGTTATAAATTTTTACGTGAGCGCATCTAAACACCAATGGGAAGAAGGCAGCTACTGAATTTGATTTTTAAAATCGGGTATGTCATCATAAAATTTTAAATAATCTTGCCAACCTGTCAAAAAAATACAAACATTAATAGCCATTTGGTGTTAAACGTCCAATTGGAAAAAATCTCTAGTAGGCCGTGAAATTTATTTTTAAAATAATGATGTTGGCATTGCAGATGTTTGACAGTTATTTGACCGTAACTGTCAGACTGTGGATTTTTTTCTATCATCGTATGTAGTATGTACTTGCTAAGATAAGACTAATTTTTAGCGAATAACATATCTGCTAAGAAAATAGAGGGCGGGTGGGCGGGGCTAGTACTCTATCATGTCCCACTAGTGGACGTTTTTGGATCACATGTGTTAAAACACGATATCAATCCACGGATTTATTAAAATATTTAGTATCAATTCATTTCACTTCTAATTTTATTTAAATTTTTGATAAATTCCAAACTTAAAATTATTACACTTTCGATCATAAGACTCATGGTTTCTCCAAGTTTTAGACTTTTTGAAGGTGCCTTCTTTTTTGAGAATTCTTAAAAAACATGTTTTTTTATGAACAATCGACATTTGACAGAATTTTTAAAGAACGTTAATTTAGCTACAGTTTCGGCCACAAAATCTTGGGCAGTTCTTTCATTCCAGTGACATAAGCTCTAAAACAGGCTTTACGTACTTATAACCTCAAATTTGCCATGTTTGTCATTTTGACGTAGACTGGAGTGTGGAGGATGACGTATGTCAAAATTTATTTTTTAAGACTGTCAATCATTATGACAATAAAGCATAGACTACGTCGTGTTTTTTTTTTTTTTTAAATGACAGAAAAATACTGCCCAAGATTTTCTGGCTGAAACTGTACAAAAAAAGAGTGAGGTTATATTGCGCAAATCCGCGTTGTCAACTGCCATCTTTTAAATTTTAGGTTTATTATAGACATACTTTACAATGTTTACGAAAAATCAAAGCCAACTCGAAGACTTTTTCTTTTAAACGCCCAATATAATATAATGGGAAAAATTCTCTATTAGACTATACTGTCCCCATACAGTAGATTGGAAAAAAATCTCTAGTAGGCCGTGAAATTTATATTTAAAATAATGATGTTGGCATTGCAGATATTTGACAGTTATTTCACCGTAACTGTTAGACGGCACAAGGAAGTCGTTGGTGTTACCAACATAATTTATTTTAAAAATAATTTTCATAGCCTAGTGGAGTTTTTCCAAACATGTGTTAAACTATGACAGCAGTCCACGGATTTATTAAAATATTTAAAACCTATTCATTTTATTTCTACTTTTATTTAAGTTTTTGACAGATTGAGTGAGGTTACGGTGCGTCAATCCAAGTTGTCAACTGCTATCTTTTAAATTTTAGGTTGATTATAAACGTACTTTACAATGTTTACGAAAAATCAGAGCCAACTCGAAGACTTTTTCTTTGAAACACCCAATATAATATAATGAGAAAAATTCTCTATTACGCCATGAAATTTAGTTTTAAAGTAATCATGTTGGCATTACAGGTATTTGACAGTTATTTGACCGTAACTGTCAGAGATTCCTTCTTTTTAGAGAATTTTTAAACACATATTTTATTAAAATTTGTAGAAGGCCATGAAATTTATTTTTAAAATAATGTTGGCACTGCAGGCATTTGACAGTTATTTGATCGTAACTGTCAAAGCGAAGAAGGAACTCCTTGGTGTTGCCAACATAATTATTTTAAAAATAATTTTCATGGCCTACTAGTGAATTTGTTTTCGTTCATATGGTACTAATATGCACGAAAATTATTAGGTGTATTATTGTTAAAGATTACTTAAAATTTTGCTATTAAAACGCGATTACAATTCACGGATTTGTTAAAATATTTAGTATTCATTTCATTTTTAATTTTATTTAAATTTTTGACAACTTCCAAACTTAAAATTACTACAATTTCTACAATAGGTTGCACAATTTCTCCAAATTTTTGACATTTTGAAGATGTTTCTTTTTTGAGAATTATTAAAACGCACGTGTTTTATTAATTCAGACTGTTGTGTATAATTGACATTTGACAGAGTTCTTAAAAAGTGTTAATTTTGTTATTAGACAAAACGTTAGTGTAGATTGTGCCAATCCGCGTTGTCAGTTGTCATCGATTAAATTTTAGGTTTGTCATAGACATACTTTACTGTGTTTAGAAAAAATCTATAGTAGGCCATGAAATTTATTTTTTAAATAATGTTGTTCGCACAACAGGCATTTGACAGTTATTTGATCGTAACTGTCAGAGCGAAGAAGGAACTCTTTGGTGTTGCCAACATAATTATTTTAAAAATAATTTTCAAGACCTACTAGTGGATTTGTTTTCGTTCATATGGTACTAAAATACACGAAAATTATTAGGTGTACTATTTTTAAAGATTACTTAAATTTTTGCTATTAAAACACGATTACAATCCACGGATTTGGTAAAATATGTATTTAGTATTCGTTTCATTTCTAACTTTATTTAAATTTTTGACAACTTCCAAATTTAAAATTACTACAATTTCTACAATAGGTTGCGCAATTTCGTCAAATTTTTGACATTTTGAAGATGTTTCTTTTTTTGAGAATTTTTAAAACGCAGTTGTTTTATTACTTCAGTCTGTTGTGTATAAATGACATTTGACAGAGTTCTTAAAAAGTGTTAATTTTGTTATTAGACAAAATGTTACCTTAGATTGTGTCAATCCGCGTTGTCAGTTGTCATCGATTAAATTTTAGGTTTGTCGTAGACATACTTTACTATGTTTACAAAAAATCTATAGTAGGCCATGAAATTTATTTTTTAAATAATGTTGTTGGCACTGCAGAGATTTGACAGTTATTTGACCTTAACTATCCAAGTGAAGAAGAAACTCGTTGGTGTTGCCAACATAATTAATTTCAAAATAACTTTCATGGCCTACTAGTGGATTTGTTTTCGTTCATATGGTACTAAAATGCACGAATATTGTTAGGTGTATTATTTTTAAAGATTACTTAAAATTTTGCTATTAACGCACGATTACAATCCACGGATTTGTTAAAATATTTAGTATTCGTTTCATTTCTAATTTTATTTACATTTTTGACTACTTCCAAACTTAAAATTACTACAATTTCTACAATAGGTTTCACAATTTCTCCAAATTTTAGACTTTTTGAAAAATTTTAAAACGCACGTGTTTTGTTAATTCAGACTGTGGTATATAATTGACATTTGACAGAGTTGTTAAAAAGTGTTAATTTTGTTTACAAAAATCAACGCCCACTAGATGACTACTTCCATTAAACACCCAACACAATATGATGGGAAATAATCTCTAGGAGGCAATGAAATTTATTTTTAAAATAATGATGTGTAACTGCAGGCATTTGACAGTTATTTGATCGTAATTGTCAGAGCGAAGAAGGAACTCGTTGGTGTTGCCAACATAATTATTTTAAACATAATTTCCATGGCTTACTAGTGAATTTGTTTTCGTTCATATGGTACTATAAAATGCACGAAAATTACTAGGTGTATGATTTTTAAAGATTACTTATAATTTTGCTATTAAAACCCGATTACAATCCACGGCTTTATTAAAATATTTAGTATTCATTCCATTCCTAATTTTATTTAAATTTTTGACGACTTCCAAAGCAATTTATCGTAAGAGTAGCGATTTTCTGGATTTATTAGTTGTGTATTCAGTCACCATCATCATCATTGATTTGGTGTTGTTTTGTTGTTGGTTAACACGCGCTTTCATTCATTAAACTGTGTTCTCTAACCTAATATAACAGAGCCTCTAGACAGGACATGGCGGCGGCGGCTTCTCCACAGCTAGCGACCTCTCCCACTGGTCTCGGTGGGCAGAGTGACCACCACACTACTCTAATGGAAGACCCCGACGTGTGGCGTCCCACATAAGTGCCCTCGGTTACTAAAAATGTACATAACAAGGCAAACCGTAACATTTGACTGCTTGACTGTTTTATTAACATTCTGGTGCATGACGTTTATTTTCTTTTTTAGCAGTAAACACCTTGAGTTGCTCTCCAGGATTTGTGCATGCGTTATAACGTTTCAAAAGTGCCGCCCGAGCTCCGCCTCAGTGGCGCAGGGCGCCACTTTTGAATCTCAGTAGTTTTTTTGTCATTCCTAAACCAGATTTTGATTCAATTCTTGTGTCTAGGGCGTCTGCAGAGGAGATGCGCCAAACGGCCGCCGCAGATGCCGTCCCCGCCCCTGGTACAAACAGACCCAATTCCTTGCACTCAAATTTGGTTGCGAACGCTCAACCCATCAGTTTTACTGGACCTCCGCTGTACGACAGCAACGTTTGATTGGATTTTTCCGTTAGTTCTAAGTGTCTTCTCCAAAATTAAAACAACGTGAAACCATCGGTGTATGTATTTCGTATAAAATGTAACAGTTAAGATTGATACTTCGACTTATCGTCCTTATTAAAAAGGTATTTATTTTGTAAATCGTACACGAGATTATCGTTATTACTGTTAACTTCCACGCTAGTGTGCATATATCACATAGGAAATGTAAGTGTAATATAATTAGGTGAATCAACAACGTCAATTGATCGAGATTATGGATGCCTAATTGCAGCCTGTAGCTAAATTGTTATAACCCATTCCTACTGCCAGAACGGACGATTTTACCAAAAGACCTCCACTATGCTTTAGACGAAAATATGGCATTCTTATTTGTAGGTAGCTTCCACCAAGGTTTTGTGTAAGACTGTTTTTCATTATTTATATTGTATCGATTTTTTTATACACTGCGTAATCTATAAGGGTTTGGTCTAATTAATATTACTTTGCTCAATTTTTTATTCCGCGGTCGATTGGTTGGTGGGATAACGTAGAAAGAGTAAATTTTAGCATTCCATTGTCTGTGTTAGTCAAGATCTCGGAATTGGTTTTGTTTGGAAACGTCATCATGTGCATTGTAGTATTACCACATATCAGTCATTTTCTTGTATTGCTGTTAACCGACGAGAAACAAACATTTACAATTGTGTACAGTTTTGAAATTCTAAAATTGAACAGTGTGCGTTGTTGCCATATTGTTACTCAAAGATCTATTTTTTGTTTTGAGATTACTAGTCACGATTTTTGTCAGACCCAGTAGCTTCTTCCTATTGGTTTCTTCCATTTGAAATTTTTTTCCGGTGTGACTTTTTGTGATGTTTGTACATTAATTTTTATCTATACACTCTAATTATTAAGAATAAATTTAACGACCCAACGTGTTAGACTAATTATTGTATTGTTACAATATTGTACCTATGATATATTATGTATGTATATTGATGTATTATTGTAGCAATAAAATGTCTTATATATTAAAACGGCTTTTTTTAATTGGTTTTAATGAGAAACTGTGGTGCATCTGGGCACAATAAAACTTGATTTTCTCCACGTTTTAAATTTGGTGCCACGAAATCTACCAATCGAATGTGGTGTTTGATTGAGAAGATTGATTGTTGCCAACTTGAATTTGAGTGGAGACTCTGAGCCTGTTTCAGTCTAATTTTTTATTCATGTGTATGATGTGATAAATATAGCCCTTATTGAAATGTAATAACAATCAAGGTCACTTAATTATTTATTTTTCATAAGTGTTTCTTGTTTTACTAAAGTGGAATTTACAAATTATTTCAACTAAAAGATGTATGGATTTCGTTATAATGTACATTATCCAATAGATACGACTCGATTTACTGTGAAAGAAAGTTTAAGCTAAACTGAGTTCTAAGTAAAATTACAAAAATTATAAATTGAATGACTTTACAGCAGTGATATGATAACTATTGTTTTTTTACTGAATCCAATACATTAATTTATGTTTTCTGATAAACTCTATAAAGTAAAAATTAAATGAAATAACACATTGATTTGAATTTTTCAATTTTTCATTTTTTTTGTTTCTTCAGTTTTTCGATTTGCAATTTTTCGAGTTTTCAAATTTTTTTGTTTTTTCTTTTTAGTTTCCTCAATTTTTCGATTTTCAATTTTTCATTTTTTTCAGTTTTTAGGCTTTACAATTTTTCGATTCAAAATTTCTCCAGTTTTCAAATTTTAATTTTTTCAATATTTCGATTCTTCTTTTTTTACTTTCTTCAAATTTTCGATTTGTAATTTTTGATTTTGTTTTCTTTTATGTTTACAATTTTTCGTTGTTCGGATTTTATAATTTTTTGTTTTTCCAATTTCAATTCTTTTCAAATTTCCGTTTCTTCAATATTTCGATTTTGTATTTTTCAATTTATCGTTTTTTGTCTCTTCGGTTTTACAACATACAACTCTTCGAGTTTTCACTTTTTAATTTTCCAGTTTTCCATTTTCCAACTTTTGTACATTTTGCAATTTTGCTATTTTTCAATTTTTAATTCTGATCTTTAAACGTTTTAAAATTTTTCATATTTTGAATTTTTCAAGTTTAAATTTTTAGTTTCTCGATTTTTCAATTTTTCGATTTTTCAGCTTTAGATTTTTTGATTTTTCTTTTTTTGGATTTTACAATTTTGTGCTTCTGGTTACTACAATACAGACAAAAAATAGATTTTGTGTTAAGTGTGTAGTTATTTTGTTTATTTTTTTTTAACCAAAAACCCAAGGAATTCAAGAAATTCAATAATTCCAAAAAATGAAAAATGCATATTAAAGAAATCCAAAATCTAAATAATCGAAAAAAATTTAAAAAAATCCAAGAAACCCAAGAAGCAAATCCTATTTAAGGTGAATAACAATTCAAAAAAATCCAAAATAATCCAAAAAAATCAAGAAACTCGAGAAATCCAAGACTCCAAAATAAAAATTAAAAATTCCTAAAAATCCAAAAAATCGTGGAGCAAAAAAAAACAAAAAAAAGATTAAAAAAATCAGAAAAAATTAAACTGAAAACAATATATTTAATAAAATAAAAAGAAACAAAAAATCGAAAAAATCCCAAAAATTTAAAAAATCGAAGAATTTAAAAAAACCGGAGAAACTCCATAATTCCAAAAATCCAAAGAATAGAAAATATTTCGAAAATTTAAAAATATCCAAAATATCAAAAATTTTAAAAATTCAAAAAAATCGAGGAACAAAAAAATTCAACAAATCTAAAAAATAATTTTAAAAAATCCATAAATATCCAACAAACCCTAGAGACAAATCCGATTTAAGGTGAAAACAAACCAGAAAAAATCCGAAAAATAAAAAAAAAATCCCAAGAAATCCAAGAAACTTAAGAAATCCGATAATCCAAATACTAAAAATTTTCCAAAATTAAAAAGAAATAAAAATCAAAGAATTTAAAAATCCAAAATTTTCCAAAAAGATCCAAAAAAATCAAAGAATTTAAAGAAATCACAATCTAAAAAATCCATTCAACCCAAGAAATCCAATATTTCCGAAAATCTAAAAATTGGAAACTTACTCAAGAGTCAAAAAATCCAAAAAGACAAAAAAAAATTAAAACTGTCCAAGAGATCGAAAAATAAATAAAAAAAAATGAGGAAAAACCAAAACAACCTAAAAAATCCTAAAAACCCCAAAAAACAAAGAAATCCAATAATTCCAAAAAATCAAAAAAAACAAAAATTAAAAAAAGTGATAAAAATTAAATAATACAAAAAATGTCGAAGACTCAAGTAACAAATCCTACGTAAGGTGAAAAATAATCCAAAAAAATCCAAAAAAGTCCGAAAGATCCGAAAAACCCAAGAAATTCAAGAAACCTAAGAAACATACGAAATTCAATAATCCAAAATATTTTAAAAAATCAAGGAGTTAAAAAATACAAAAATCAAAGGAATTCAAGAAACTCAAGAAATCCATTAATGCAGTAAAAGAGACTCAAGGGACAAATCCTATTTAATGTGAAGATGAATCCAAAAATATCCAAAATAAAGCAAAAAATTCCAAAAACCCAAGAAACTCCACAAATCCAAGAATTCAAAATATGGATAATATCCAAAAATTTTTAAAATATCCAAAATATCAAAATTTTAAAAATCCAAAAATCCAAAAAATCGAAGAACGAAAGTGATCGGAAAAGTTGAACAAATCCAAAAAATTATAAAAACACAAAAAAAAACAAAAGATGTAAAAAATCCAAACAATTCAAAAAATCAAAGGATTTTTAAATGCTAAAATTCTAAAAATCCAAGAAACCCAAAAAATCCAAAAATCCCAAAAAAAATCCAAAAAACTTAATTTAAGAAACCTACGAAACAAAAAATTCAAGACATCCGATACTTGTAAAGATTTAAAAATTGGTAATTTTTCAAAAATCCACAAAATCAGAACAAAAAAATTTATATAAAAATTATTCAAGCAACAGAAAAAAATTAGTAAATCCAAAAAAAATCGGATAATTAACAAAAAAATCTAAAAAATACAACAATTAAAAAGAAACGAAATAACTCCAAAATCCAAAAATATACAAAACTGAAGAAACAAATCCTATTTAAAGTGAGAAAAATTTTTAAAAATCCAAAAGATTCCGAAAAATTACGAAATATCCGAAAGATCCAAAACATCACAAGAAATCCACTAATCCAAAAAATAAAAAAAAATCTAAAAAATGCCAAGAATCTCAAAAAAACTGACAAAATCCAATATTTCCGAAAATTCAGAATGTGTAAAATAACCCAAAAATTAAAAAAATCAGAAAATAAAAGACACTAAAATAAGAATTAACCAAAAAAATAAAAAAACATTAATGAATTCAAAAAGCAAAAAAACTAAAAAATTCCAAATTCCAAAAAATCTTAAAAAATTAAAAAGAAACGTCTAGAAACATAAGAAACAAAAAATTCAAAACAACTAATAATTTCAAAAATGTATCAAATGAAAAATCCATTAATGCAATAAAAGAGACCCAAGAAACAAATTCTATTTAATGTGAATATGAATCCAAAAATATCCAAAATAAACCAAAAAATTCCAAAAACCCAAGAAACTCGAGAAATCCAATCATCCAAAATATTGAAAATATCCAAACAATTTTAAAAGTCCAAAAAATGGAAAATATCCCAAAAATCCAAAAATCGTGGAACAAATGAAAAGCAAAAATTTTAAATTATACAAAAAATAGGAAGAATTGAATGAACTCAAAAAAATAAAATAAACAAAAAAACTAAAATATCCCAATAATTCCAAAAATCCGAAAAATGGAAAATACCCCGAAAAGCAAAAAAATCTAACAGAATCCAAAAAATTCAAATAACCCAAAAAACTCAAGAAACCTACGAAACTCAAAAAATGCAAGACATCCAGTAATTCCAAAAATTTAAAAAATGAAAACTAGTCGGTAAATCCAAAAAATTAGAGAACGAAAAACCAAAAAATTAAAATTATCCTAGAAATGGAAAGAATTTAATAAAACCTAAATATGTATACAAACAATTCAAAAACCCGAAAAAATCGAACATGTACTTATAAAAAAATTGAAATCCAAAAATATCAAAAACTCAAGAAACAAATC